ACTGGTTTTAATATTGGAACGGTTGGTGCAGCAAACCAGTGTAACCGGTTACACCGGTGCGAATATTGGAACGTGCCCCTAGTTTCGCTTTTAGTGACAGTTGTTTCTGATTTCACTGTAATTGCATCTCATGTTTTGTACTCATCGCTTATTATGCGATAATCGTTCTTTTTGATTCGTATTGTAATCTGTGTTGTTTTAGGTTGAATTCAGATTATACAATTGTCTTTCTAGCAATATAATTTATACAAATTTTAAACCTATAACTTCTAGTAAATTTTAATAGACATTTTAGAGAATCATGAGTTTTCTTACAAAACTTTTTGGAGGTGGTAAGAGTGGATCTAAGGCTCCAACTCCTGCTGAAGCTATACAAAGGTTGCGAGAAGTTGAAGAAATGTTAATGAAAAAGCAAGAATTTTTAGAACGTAAAGTAGAGCAAGAACTGGCTACTGCTAAAAAGAATGGCACCAAAAATAAAAGGGGTACCACTTTTATTTGCTGTTTATTTTTTCGCTTTTTACCAATTTTTCTCTCTTATCTAGTTGAATGATTTTGTTAAAATACAAATATTTTTTGTCACTTTATCAATGTTTCATTGCAATGCTTCTTGTGTTTCTGAAAAATTTTAGGTATTTGTGATTTCCATTATATATATATTTTTACATATGCACAGTTTTTTTTTTTTGTAATCATAATGTTTTTTTTTTCTTGTGCAAACTGAAACCACCACACTGTTTAGTGAAACTGTCCAATTGTTGTCCTTGGAGTAAATTTTTAAAAATATCGATAGTTGTTTTCCCAGAGTTTAGTACAAATTGACCTTTCACGTTTGCCACATTGTGTTATATTCATTTTTTAAATGTTTCCTGCATGCCATTCCCCAACAGATAAAACCAGCGACTCACACAATGATGCCATGCTTGGAGGGAAGGATAATTGTTCCGCATTCGTGTAATACTATAAAAGAAAATCACAGAAGGTGACAAACTTGAAATAGCTCACAACTACTCACAGACTTATGACGAACCTCCACTGTAGACAAATATTGTTACAGAAATATCCTTGAGGGAAGGAAGGGGATTTTGGAAATCGTGACAAGGGATGGGAAAAGATATCAAAAGGTGTGATCTGATTAACAAAAGAAAGAATATAATTTTAATTAAAATTAAAACATATTAAATCAATAGACAAGGTATTTTTTACAATTAAAAATTTTTCTCTCCTTCAAATTAATTACTAATATTGCCATTATTGTTGTCATGTTCATAAATGACATCAAAACACAATAATTAAAGTTTCAAAATAAAATGTGCAATGACTTTATTATATGTTATATAGTGTGACGAGATTGTTAGGTAACGAGAGGAAGGGGTCAAGAGTATTGAGAAGCTAAATAAAGAGCTGTAATAAATTATCAGATAATTTTATTTTACTCACAAAAATCTTCGATAGTGATGTTCAAACGGTTGTTGTTTTTGTTTTAAGTTGGGGAGAAATTGATTCATATTTTAATTTTTACTAGGAAACTTCCAACTATTGTAATACATAAAAATTAATGTTTTGCTAAATCATCTGGGAAGATTTCCTTGTTAGTATCTATGCATAAATAGTTACCAAGTTTGCAATGACTGCAAACTGAAGAAAAATTACTCAAGAGGAGCAAATCGAAGAATGTACTTTGCTGGCTTTATGGTTTTTAAACTTCCTGGCTTTATGTTTTTTATAAAATTTTGCCAGTTTAAAATCCCTTTGGTGATTGTACTTGTTTAAAACAGGATTCAATATAGAAATATCGTTAGTTTGGAAAATTTTCAAAATTGTGTCTTTATATCCCAAATTTTGAATGACAATTATAGCTATCATTGTTGCTATATTTCACTTATTCACAAGTGTATGAAATGCATTCACATTCAGCACAAGTATGACTTTTGTAATATTTTTGTCGTAATAGTGCTATAATTTTTTATGCAAAAAAAAAAAAAAAAATATTGCAGCAAGTGTTCAAGAAAATAATGGTTTTTAATTTTTTTACACTTTCAGAAAAAAAAAATTTTTTGAAAAAAGGAAAAAAATGCTTATTTGTATTTGTTAGAAGTTTAAAATTGACTTTAATTCTTGATTTGTATTCTTAGTTGCTTTGCAAGCTTTGAAGAGGAAAAAGCGATATGAAAAGCAGCTAGGTCAAATTGATGGAACTTTAACGACTATTGAATATCAGCGTGAGGCTTTAGAAAATGCCAATACAAATACTGAAGTTCTTAAGATTATGGGTTATGCGGCTAAAGCATTGAAAAATGCACATGAAATGTAAGCTTTCTTAGTTATTAACTGCTTGAAAAATTCTCTTTGTTTTCAGTTGCCGTACAATTGAGGCAATTTCGAACAACCTACCAATGTATGGGCATTTAAGTCAACCCCTATTTTTGCTTACAATATTATAGGAAGTTTTCGGTATGTTAGGTATATAAGTCAGCCATTAAAAAAGGAAAATGTAAAAATTTCTAAAATTAATAATGATAAAAAAAAATTATTAAATTAACTGAATTTTCTTGAGTTAAAAATATTGGAAAACTCTTGAATAAATTATATTAATTTTTCTTAATCTTCATTTTTATGCTCTGAACGTAACTTAAAAAATTGTTTCTAAAAAAAAAAACTTTTTATGAAAAGTAAGTAAGTTGCGAGAAAGTGTTAAATTAATTCTATATTACATATAAACAGTTTTTTGAAAGGGTTTAATTGATACAAAATTTTTCATATCACATATCTTAACGCATCTATATTTCTGGAATAACAGATGTCCGACTTTATTGCTAGTTGACCCCCTGAATTTTGAGGGTTTGAGAAGTTGACTTTTGTGCCAGAATATACAATAATCAAAAATTTCTATCAGGAACCATGGTATTTTTCACCTGAAATGTATTTTGGATACTAGTTATAGTACATACTGTCATAAATAGAACAAGTAGCTTTATTTGCAATTAATCATTTTATTTTCTTAAATTCTTATTAAAATTTATTATTTTGCTCATGAGTTTTTGTGAGTAAATATTTATGGTATTTTTGTGCACTCACAGTATAACAGCCCCATGTTGTGTCCATTTACCTTTGAGCAAAAGGGGTTGTTATATTGAGCATTAACTATTAAGAGAATCTCTTAAAAAATTGGAGTATTAGTAATAAAATTGCTCTAGTTAGATATTAAAATTATCAAGGTTCTGGCATTAGATTTTCTAACTTATAGTGGAATTTCAAACTTTCCAAACTTTAGAAGAAATTAAGTTTCTAATCTTTATTATTATTTTATTCGCTTAAATCATGATTTATGTATGAAAATTAATAGTATATGGGCTATAGGTATACACATATGGTAAATAAAAACTTTAAATAAGATTGTTAATAATTTAAATCTTTTCTTATGCTTTTGTTTATTCATAAACTAAAAATTTTCAGGCATTCTTTCCAAATAGTAATGGTTACTCTTTGTCTAATTTTATATCCATTGATATAATTTATTAATTTTGTTTTGTTTTAGGGATGTAGATCAAGTACATGATTTAATGGATGATGTTCAAGAGCAGCAGGAAATTGCAAATGAAATATCTGATGCTATTTCTAACCCTGTTGGATTTGATAAAGATTTTGATGAAGTATTGTTTTATTTAATATTGGTTATTTTTTAGCTAATTAAATTGTCAATTTTAGAAAATAAGAATGACTAAGTAAGGATTTTAGGATTTTTTTTTTAAAAAAAAGTTACAAATTAATACAAATGTAAAAAAGAGTTGTGTGAACTTATAGAAATTTTTAACATATTTTAAGCTAAATTTCTCTTCTACAAAAGATCACATTTTTGCATTTTCTCAGTTTCTATAATTAAGAAATTGGATAAATGTTTAGATTGATATTAATTTATGTTTTAAATTTGTATTGAGTTATTTAGCTGAAACATTATTTTAACCTCTGATCAAAGTCGTAGTTCGAATAGTCATTAAAAAATTTTTTAATCGTGAATGTTTTTCATATCTTTCCCATATTTGTATTAAGTTTTTAAATGCATTTATAGAAATGAGGATTGTTAGACAGTAATTTGAAAATGGTTGGCTTGAATTACTTAAATAATATTTAATTACCATACTTATGTATTATCTCGTCAACCCTTTTCGCAAAGAAAATAAATTTGGAAATGGTTCAATTTTCTTCTCCAATGTAATTATCTCATTTTTGTTCTCATTTTGTTCAATAAGTTGGATTTGTACACAATAACACTTAACAACTTTTTTACTCTAGCAATTGTCCAATCACTAATGAACTTGAGATTAGCCTTTCAATGCACGTTTGTAGTTCCTACATAACAGTTGCTCACCAAAATAAGTGTATGGAAAGTGTTTTTCACTTGTTGCAAGTTTTGAGTGTGCTGCAAAATCTTTCCTGCCTATACTTACGGATTACTATTTCCGTTGTATTTGGAAGCTATTCGTCTCACATTGTGATTATTTTGTTATGTGGATTTGTTACCTGATTAATTATTTGTGTTTTTAAAAAAAAAAGAATTCTTATAAGAATAGTCATTTGAAGACCTTTCATTTCACGACCCAATGATCATCATTTGGAGAAAAAACTTTATAGAACACTTCTTACCTTGTCAGCAATATACCAAGTTCAGAATTTAAACCTCAATCATAATTTGTAATATGAATTTAATCTCGCTGCTTGGACAATACCCTAACACTAATGTATAATAGTCTATGGCTTGAAACAAGAATGGTAATAAACAAGAAAAAAGAAGCCAAATCAGGACTGCCAAAAAATAGAGTTCATTCTAAATCTAGCAACCATGTAACCTTTTTTAACAATACATCTATAAATAACTAAAACAAATTTTCACTTCAAACTTACCAGAAAAGTTATTTATTTTATTAAAACCGAAATTATCTGTTTGAAAATATCAACTTGCAGATTAAGCTGTAGTCAGCAGCTGTATACTTTCTAATCTGAAGTAGAGCAGGTCAAGAACTAAAGATTGTTATTTACGTTTATATTGAAAACACCATCCATACTAAAATATGTTAGTGTTTAAATTAAATGTATGTATAACAGTTTATCTGCCAAAGTAAACTGTAAATAACCAAAATAAAAATAAATTTTAAAGAATTTAAAATCTTTTTAAATAAGAATAATTTTTATTTTAATAAAATGTACTTAATTGAAGTAACACTATTTTTTTTTTTGTTACTTTTCATCATGAAATAACTCTTGCTTTCCCTCACTGTTTATTGCTAAAAATAATCATTTCATTTATTTTGAAAACAACCTTGCATAACAAGTAGTTTAGCTGATTGGCTTATATGTTAACAAAAATATTACATTTATAACATTACAGTTTTTCCATGATTAGAACTATTTTAGTGCTTGCTTTATGAAAGCCATGGTCCACGTCAACTAAACTTGGCATTACATAATCTGTTAAATGTTGTTAGGTGTTTTGTAGGTATGATTTACTGTTTATTAAAATTAATTTGCCATCCACAGTAGCAATAAAAAAATGCATGACATAATTGACATTTTAGAACCAAAAATGTTGTTACGAATAATCTGTAACAATATGAAGTGAAAAGAATTTTTTTTTTATTTTTATAAATATCAAAAATTACTATTATGATAATTTATATTATATTATAATTTTATTTTAATTAAGTAATAAGTACTTAAATCTAAGGTTTGTAAAGCTGCTGGACTGTTTTAAAAATAAAATCAACTTAGATGTTTATTTATTTCTTTTCATATGGTTTATAGTTTCTTATGGGATAAAAAAATAAAATTTTAAGAAAAATTATTTTGTGAAACTGCCCTTTTTCCTAAAGTTGAACTTGTGAAGGTACCGCTAAACGGTAGTAAATTTGACCTGGATACTGCCATATTATTTTAATTTAAATGAAATATAAATTTAAGAAAAGTAAGTAGCTAGAACTTTTTATGTCTGTAATTGTACAAAAAAAGTTTTAGTGCTGTGTAGACTACTGTGAATAACTTACAAAACCTTTATGTTAAATATTTTATTTTAGGATGAGCTAGCTAGAGAGCTAGAAGAATTAGAACAAGAAGAATTAGACAGAGATCTACTTGCTGTTGGTCCATCTACTACTGAATTACCTGAAGTACCAACAGCTGAACCTGCACGTCCAGGTAACTCTTTATTGCCTTTTTGAACTAAGATTGATATGGTTTACATTTTATTATTCAATTTGTAAAAGTTATGCAGACAATTCAGCAATCATGGGAACAATTAATATGACAACTACCCTATACTGAGTTACATCTAAAGGTATCTCTTTTTTAAGGCTGTTCTATCATAATTCTTGAATAATAAATCAATTGTTTAAAAAAGCAATACAATTTTGTACTAGTTGTATTGTAAATATAGCAAACTATTAATGTACTATAGTTTGTATACATAAAATAATGCTCCATATTTTGTATAATTGGTTTCCTAAAATTGTCTGACAATTTAAATCGATCAACAAAAGTGGTAGGAGATAAGAATATGCAGATTGCTGCTTACAGCTTTATAAACTGTGTATTTATTTTCTTGAAATTTCCTTCATAGTTTTAATTTTTATCAATAGAATGCTACTGATGACTAAAAATGAAATAAAACTATATTTTCCTCTGCATGTTAAACCATTATTTCTACTGAAACATTTGCAAGGGCTTCTGCTGAATTTGTCCTCAGGCCTTACCATATTGTTATATATACAGTGGAACCTGAGTAAAGTGACCATTTTCTACAAGTTTTATTTAGCGTCTTCATTAAGGACCACCTCTATATGGTGACCATTTGACTTGGTCCCGAGGGTGGTCAATTTAGACAGGTTCCACTGTATATATAATTATTATTATTTATTTATTTATTTTTTTAAATTGGAGGGCCATCAAATTACAAAATTAAGCTATTTTTTATCTTCGATAAAAATATATACTTTCCTTTTAACATTTCGGCTATATTCAAATTCCTACTTTTTCCAAATCTTTGAAATTCTCTTTTTACTTCTTTTATAATTTATTCTTGACTTCTTTTTTTAAATGTTTTCCAGCAAAAGCAAAGCAACCTGTTGAGGAAGAAGATGAAGATATGAAAGAATTAGCTGCTTGGGCTTCATAATTTTCCTTGAGTAAGAGTTAATTTTAATTTATATTAGTGTTGTTTGTTTAATTATATTTTTAAAAAAACTTCTATGAATTGGAAGTGTTTATAATAAGTAGTAAGCATTAATGATAGTGTCTTTAATTTTTTTACCAGGATGTAACATTAGAAACATGTTACAAGTAAAAGTTATTAATGAAACGAATGATGCTTTTGTTGGTTGAATAACAGTATTGGAGTCTTCTATAATTTCAATATTTTTTTCAGTAAATATTATTATTATTTAACTTAATTTTATTAAATAAGCTGTTTAGGTGGAAGTTTCATAACAATCTGGATTTTAAGATATTTGTAGATAATTTAAAATTTTGTGATGGAATGATATTAGAAAACTATCATCTATTATATATTCATAAAACTGGTGCTTGTAATGATTGCAATCATTTACAAAATTATTTCATTTACATAACATTTAATAATGAGAAACCAAATTTATTGCACTGGGAGAAAAATGTGAAAGCATCTGTGAAAAAAACTTTTTAAATAAGAAATATAACATATTATGAATAATTATTTTTAATAGCTTATAATTGCAGTGTTAATCTAGCGTGATAAATGACGTCAATTTCCACGTTATTTATTTCATTATGCCAAATATTAAAAACAAGGCTAATGTCTAAAATTATTAAAACATTAATATTAAAAAAATTTAATGGAAATTTTACCAGTAATGAAAAATCTTAATGTAATACTTCTTAAAGAAAAGATTTGTAATGGCAATTGAAATAATAACTACTGTATGTGTGCAATTATTAACTATTCATTAAATTTTTTTATATGCAGTGATCAATGATGTAACTGTCATCAGTGATCAATAATACAGTGATAATATGCAGTGATCTAAAAGTATAAGTGTTTATTTATCTATTATAAGTATCTTATTTATTTAGGAAAATAAAATATAAATCATATTTAAAAATACGTATTTATAATCTAGGTTGTATAAATTTTAAAAATCTATAAATTAATATGCATTACTTGAAAATAATTTCCTTTTTAAAAAGTCAAATCTGAAAACTTTTAACTTTCTTATAATTTATTAAAAAAATTTTAATTTTAAACTGCTCTTAAAATATTAAAAGCTAAACAATTTTATTAGTCAATTTAGTTTCTTCCCTTTTTTATTTCCATTGTCCTGTAAGAAATAGATTTCTTTCTTAATCAAATCTCAACCTTGCTTACAATTCAGGCTTATTCAAAAGCCTGAATTTTTTTATATGTTTCTTTCATTTCACAAATTTTGCTATGTCTCAGCATATTATTCAGCACAATTTTTAGTTGGCTCTCTAATATATATAAACAACAGCCAAATATTGTGGATGTAATACTAATTTATTAAAGTAATTTTTATGTTGCTAAAACATTATTTTTTTTTTTCAGAACTATCCTATGCGTTTTGTAAAAAGTTGTATTTCAACATGTAAGCCTGTCTCATGAAGATTCTTTATCTGATAAACTGTATATCTTTTGATAATATGTAGTTGCTCCTGAACTATTACATAATGATTAAACAAAAATTGTTTATAAAGAAAATTACATTTTTTCTTAATCAAGTCAAAGTAATGATATTCAATTAAACTAATGGTTTACTCCGAAAAATTGAATTAAAATTGTTTTTGAACTTTCTATAAATGTTGTTTGTGATATGATTTGGATAGTTATATTTCATATGTTTATTTGTTTTAAAATTGTTATATTTGTGTGAGTCTGACTACTTACATATTGTTTTCTATTTTCTGTGCTTTGCAGTATAATTTATATCCATTTATCTAAAAGCTTGGAAAAATGGCAGGGTTATGATTAAAGCTAGCTTGTATATAGATAAGAGACTTCTGTAAAATATAGCTGTACACTTGTGTGTTAATACAAAATAACATTTTAACAGTCCATTAATATGCCATTTATTAATTATATAGACATGTAAGAAGCAACTCTGAAATGTATTTTGGAATTGTAAATTATTTTTTCACTCTTTGCTTTTGTGCCTGTTGAATAGACAAAATCACACCTCTTTTTACTTTCAAATAAAATTAATTAGGCTGTATAAAATTGTATTGAGTATTAATAAATTCTGTATTTTACAAAATAAGCTTCTGGACTAGTTTTTACTTGATAAAATTTATGCTTTAAAAATACATCTATGATGTATAAAAAAGTACAGTTTTTTATTGTACTCATTTACTCATCTGCACCTCTAATGGGGTATTATCTCCTATGTATCTAGGTATTTTTCCAAAAAAAAGCTGAAGATAATGAGATTAACCCTTTGGCTACTAACGGGACTCATTTGTCCCAACAAATGCTTAAAGATTGCTAATGGGGTGAAAAGCATTTAGAAACTTATTGTAATATGTCCCAGTCGTAGAGTTCGAACCAAGTATACGTGTTTCATGTGTTAAATATCCCCTAGATGGCGCTAAAGAAGAGTTTCTTGCGTGAAATAGCATTGTGATTTTGCTCTGGGACAGATATATCCCACTAGTATTCTTCATTGGGACAGATATATCCCACTCGTATTCTTCATTGGGATTGTTATGTCCATTCGTATTTTCTCAAATGAACATAGAAAAAAGAACAAATATGAGTTGTCCAATGTGTAATGTCGGGTTATGCAAAGATTGCTTCACCCTGTATCATATATATCTTCACCCTGTATTAAAAAAAAAGTCCATATAATAAATTTTTCCGGAATGATAGATGTGCTTGTAGTAAGTCGATCACTACAGGTGGGACATATGTATCCCACCATTAAGTACTGCCGGGACATATATGTCCCAGCCTCTAAATTGATAACCGCTTGTCAGATAAATCCCAAATACTACATTTGCCTTATTTTGACCTTTTAAATAATAAATGGGACAAAAATTTGTAGTCAAGGGGTTAAAACGAAGTAATTGGTACATAGAATGAATAGTTAAAAAGATAATCAAATACTGATGTTAAAAAATTTGTGCCTATCGACAAGCTTGATATTACTATCAAAACAAGCAAAGCATTGGATACAATGTTCTACGCTTAATCAAATGGGACCAAAACCAAGTCAATAGGATTAATAGTTTAAAAGATGAGCATTTCAATTCAATTCAGATGAAATTTTTTACGCAAAATTATGCTATAACTTCGGAACGATAAGTTTTATTGACTTTCGACTTAATTTAGTGTAAAAAAAATATGCAAGAAAAAATGTCTCACGTAAATAGTAATATGTCAGATACATAAATAGATTTAAGAACAAAATAGTATTTATCAATGAAACCTTTATGACTTTGGTAACCTCTATACCTATCTAACTTTTGAAATATCCGTCTAATCGATTTTGTTTTTGTATTATTCGATTGAGCATAAGAAATTGCCCAAATGATAACTCATTTCCCCAGATAGGAATTCAATCCATTACAACTTCTGAACCATTATTCCTATCTACTTGATCTTGGTGTCATTCGATTCTCCATTAAACAATACCTCACTTGCTATATGGGAATGTCTTCTCATCTTTATAAATTCAAGATCATTTTAAGGGTGGGGGGGAAACTTCAGGTATCTATGTTGAGTCAAACTACAACGTTTGAAACTATTTCCGTATTCAACTATTTAGTAACTACCCTATGGAGTCTAGAATGTAACAGTTTCCAATTTTTTGAAAAAATTGAACGCGGAGGCTGCATTGCAATACACTGTTATTTTTAAATGAAACATTAACTCAACCTCAGAAAAAAAAATTTAAAATCTTTTTGAAGATCACAATTAAAAATTTCAGAACAATATATCATAAAATTTAGAAAAAAGGGAAGAGGTTGTTTTAACCCTCTGAAAATTATCGAGACTGGTGTACTGAAGAGGAACCAGTATAGGAGGAAAACAGTGTAATAATTCAGAAACAGGGTAATTGAAAAAGATTCTGACCCTGGTTCGGGAAGAGGATTATAATTGTTTTGATTTTCTAAACCATTTTAAGCAATACGTGAATAGTTCAACTAGTCATTTTCAGAAAGTTTTTTGACCTTCCCAGAAAATTTAAATACATTTTAAGACGGAATTTTCGGCTGTATGCAACAATAATATTGGTAATTTTCTTGGTTTTATTTAAGAAATTTGATGCTTCCTTTACCTTGATGTTATCCTGCCAATGTTATTTACTAACAATGAGCGCTACATTTGCTAGTTTTAAGCTTCTAGAAAACATTTCATGTACTTGACAATCAGTTGGAGAAGAAATAATTTCTAGACTTAGTTCTGGGCTTAAAGAAGAGATGAATCTGGACTCATATTTCTTAGCTGAACTATATTTTTTCAACCCATTTCAAAAAATTGTTTTCGATCAGAACCGTGCATCAGGGTGGCCACTCAAATTAGATTTTAAATTTTCCAGATAAAAATCTTAAAATTTCCAGGTTTTTGTTTCTTTTTTCTTATAAAGTGTAGGATGTGTGCAAGAAAAGTGTCTATATTATAAAATATTTTATTCAAAATGTTTTTTTTTTTAACAGATCTTGAAAAAAATTTTTTTTCACAATCTGGCAAGATTTTATATTTATTTTTTGATGTTTTGGTACAAAATTTTGAATCAAAATTCATATTGACCAAAAAAAACTTCTTTTAAAAAATTAAAATATGTTCCAACTAATTTTTGGAGAATTTTATCAAGTTAAAAATACAAAAACATTCCGGAAACATGGAAAAAAATTACCACGAAAGCAGCGGAACAAACCATAAATGGATTCAGCCTAAAGGCAGAATTTAAAAACAGAAGTTAATATCCTAATCCCTTCTTCCACCTCCACCACAATCTTTCCTAAATTGCACAGTCCCATAGCGGTCAAAGGTTTCTACATTCAACCATGGAAGAATTTTATGTGTGCATTCTAGTTCAACACAGCTGTAATGGAGCAAATTTTGATGCAGCAATGTATCGCTAAGTTGATGATATTTCAACTGTTTGGAGATACATTTCCGTCTTAAAAAAAGTGGGTATACTGGATGAAATAATTTAAATTAAGAAAATTAGAAGATATTTTAAATTAGTGAAATTAAAAAAATTATCAAAGAAAAAATTAACAGCTTTTCATTAAAATTCCCTGATTTTTCCAGTATAAAAAAATTCCCTGATAATTCCAGGTGGGTGGCCACCCTGACAATACACAGAACAAATTATAATACCGGCTGTTCAAGGAATTCTAAGAAAAGGTATGCAAAAATCTGAAAACAAAGGTGGTTAAAGTTTAGAATAGGGTGCCTCTTGGACTGAGCACTGAAACTTTCCCATTAGAAAAACTCCATTAAGAAAATTTTTCAGCAAGAACTTAAAAAATTCTCAAAATAAGAGCCTTTTATTGTTCTTTTTTCCCTTTTGCTTTCAATTCTTGACACCTTATACAATCCCATATCAAGCTAAAAATCTAATTTTAAGATCAAATAATCAGTTGGGAGACCATTAAATACAATACACACTTTAATTATTTAATCAAGTTTATTTTTGTAAAATCTTGAAATATTACAAAGGAACATGTGTCATTTTAAAACCTAAATTATAACCATACAAGTCAAATGAAAAATTAGTACTAAATATATATTTTCCTAATATAACTAAGGACATCATAAACAATATGTAACAAATAATTTTGATAGAAGAAACAATTAAAACACAAAAATTACTTTACCGTATACAGTTCTAACAAAAAGTGCTCAAATATGAAAATTATTTTCTTTCCTACTAAGTGCTTATTTTTTAGCTCTAGATACCATAAATATCAGATAGAGGTAACATACTAATTAGAGGTAGGATGGTAATTTTTTTTCCTTCTAAATAAAAATTTATAAAAGGATGAGCCCCTCCATTTCATGAAGTTTAAAATAAGAATTACAGTATATCAATAATGTCATCAGCGTATCATCACAAGCACTTTTTTTTAGTTTGTCCACTTCATAATACATGATATTTACCATTTTGTTGAAGAAATAGATCAAGTGTTAACATACAGGAGTTGCAAGACATATTTTGTTTTATATTAACCAATCATTGTTCTTTTGTAATGGTTTAAATTAACTAGAAAAAATTAATCTTTTGAACAAGGTACATTTATTTGTGTATATGATCTAGCAGTTCTACAGTAAATATTTTATATACAAATAGAACATCTAAGTTTTTTTTTCTCAACTGCTCTGGATACTGCATCAAATTCGTTGCACTTTATGTTATACAAATTATATGTATTCGGGTGTTATTAAATCAAAATACATTATCATTAAACTGAAATGAAAAAGAAAAATACATTTCAAGTTTCATTTTTCACCGCAATATCAAGTTTCCTTAAATTATTAGATGGAAAAATAGAGTACAAAAGATAAGCCTATCTCAGAATTGTACATTAGCAAAACTGCAAACTAATATGTTGCAAATAAATATATTTTTAAAAATGATTACTCTGAACTGTATAAATACTGTTTCTCTGTTTGACTCAGGGTTTCATATACCACGAGCTGTACATTTTCAAACTACAGCATAGAAGAAAAAAACTACCAATTGTAAATAGAATTCTCAATTTACAACTTCAAAAAACCAAATTTGATCAAATTTCCATATCATTCACTTACTGCAGCAATAGGCTGAATGAGACTTGTTCAAGATACGATGTGAGAATATGGGATACCAGTAAGATTACGAAGCTAATAAGCAAAAGCTAATAAACTGACACCAATATAAAATATATATTGGAAAAAGTTATTGCTGCAACTAAAACTCTTTCTTAAAAATTAAAAAAAAATAGATCTCCAGCATTGATTTACACAAATCTTTTACGTTAATGAAAATATTTTAGGATTTTTTTTATCCAAACTATAAAAGAAAATTTTTGAAAGCTATAAATAAAGCTTTAATTTTTAAACTATATATTGTACTAACTAGCTGAAGAGAATTAACAGGACTTTATATCAGATCAATATTTGAAAAATTATTAAATCAATTCACAGGATTTGTTGATTTAAATCATTCCTTTAATCAATTGATTTCTTTAAAAAAATTTCAGATTTAAATATTTACAAAGCATTCTAATATGTGATTGCTGAAATTTCGTTGCATTGATTTTATTTATAATAAATACACTGCTGTCTTGATAAGTTTTAATTATCAAATTTACATAAATACTTAATGCACATTTATAATGATAAATTTAAAAATATTTTAATTCATTAGGATTTTCTGAAATAAAGAAAATGAAAAGGCAGTTTTTTAATACATCCTGCATGCATAAAAAGTAGATATTGAATAGGATTTCTTTAGCAATAAACATGATGGTCATGCAAATCCTACCTCTAAAACAATCTTCAAGACCACATTTTATCTTAATATTGCAAATAGATTTCTTAAAGTATGCATCATAAATTATCATAATATGGCATAAAGAAAAGATGTTGAAAAATAAATGCAAATTGTCTTTTCTTATCATGATGAGTATCAGGGGTCTGTCCATGTCGAATTTACTACCGTTTAGTGTTCCTTCACAAATTCAACTTTAGGAAAAACGGTAGTTTCACAAATTCAATTTTAGGAAAAACGGTAGTTTCACAAAATACTTTTACTTAAAATTTTATTTTTGTATCCCTTAAGAAACGATAAATCCATAATTTTGTGTTGATTTTTAAATATAATTTTTCACAAATCATGTCTAAATTTTCACAAAATAGGTACCTCTCAGAAAAACCTAGACAGACCGCTGAGTATGTTTAATTATTTTATATTAAAACATTCATAAACTTGCAATTATGGCCTAACGCAACAGAAATAAAGTAACAACAAATTTATTTGGTCATTGCAAAAGCTTCTTTAAAAAAATAATGAAGATCTGCAAAATTAATTTTGTGACTTATTTAGCGTCTTTTTTTTCAATTGAAAATGTCACTTTTTATTTCATATTCAAAAATTATGAATGTTGCTATAAACGAATTTTTAATGCATTAATATAGTTTTAAATGTACTTGAAAGGTTTATTTTTAATAACATTTCAATTTTATAAAATTTAACCTATCATAAAAGAGCCGTAGTGGCTTAGGGGATAGAGTGCTCGCCTTCCAACGAGATGAATCGGGTTCGAATATCCTCAGTGGTAGACTAATCATGAGTTCGAGTCCCCTTGCTGTTAGGCTAACTGTGGGAAGTCTTTGTGGTTTTCCTCTCCATGCAATGCAAATGCAGGTTAGTTTCATCAAAAAGTCCTCCACAAAGGCTAATTTCGCTCGATACTTGATCCAGGGATTCTTTGTCTTCCGGATTGGGTTCAAAATTATAAGAATACGGAGCTGAATGTTGGTAGTTGTAAACTGAAAATTCGATTGGCTGTTCAACGACGGTTATTAAAAAATTAAAAGTTTTCAATGCAAGAAATCTGTCAATTCCTCATTTTTTTTTATTAGCCCGAACAAAGCAGTAATCAAGTAACTTTTCAAACATTAAAGAGCAGAATAGGCAGCTTTCCATTTTCAAAAAAATTGTGATTTCCCTTCATAGTGATATTTCATTTGCACAATTATTATTATCAGTAGAAATCTAACCTAACAGTTTTAAATAACTGTTACTAATTTACAAGTTTCTTTCTGTTAATACAATCCAATTCCTTTCTATGTTATTCAACTGTGAAAATGATGCATGGTGGTAAAATTACATACAAGTCCACTAATATCTTTTTTACTGCAAAGTAGTTGAAGGCAAAATGGTCAAATTTTGTAAGAATAAAAGAAAAGAGTATCAACTATAGTTGATAAATGTAGTCAAAAAATTCTTGTAAAGAATTAATTTAATTTTAAAGAAATAATTAGAAATCAAGGTTTCTAAGATACAATATTTGTCTATTATCAGAAAAAAAACAATCAATTATAATTTAGTATAATTACTAATATTTAAAATAATTATACTGTAAATACTATACTACATCTACTTCTTCAACAAGTTTTAATAAGATATCTGGTTTTTAATTTGGAGAGATAATGAATTAAGTTAAATTACATGTTTTTCTGTAATGAAAAATTTAGTATACATAATTTTATTTTTCCTTGCTCTACAAAATCTGAAGCGTTAAATACTGATTTCATCTCCTTAACAAGTGAAGTACATACATGAGGCATTTAAGCATACTTTTGACATTACAATAGTAATAAAATAACTTGATTATCTAGTAATATTCAAATGTATTTACAACACAAAAAAGTGAAGGTGGCAATATTTTAACAACTTTTACTGAATGATTTGATATTTGGATGGTCTATTTGATTAGCATAGAATCATGCACATTGAAAAAGTACAATATGCAATAAATATCGTATCTTTGAATTAAAAACAAAATTGCATATTTACAACATAATTTCAAATTAAGAAAAACTATTATTTCTTTTTTTAAATGTTAAAAAGCATACAGTGTTAGTGAGAATAAATTTGCACTCATATACACAATCACAGATTGAAACATATCACAAAATTTTGCAAGATAACAAGAAAAATTGTGACTAGTAGATATTTATGATTATAATATTTTCACAACAAATCAAGAAAATTAACATATTACAATAAATAGAGTCATTTAAATATTGCATTCACAAACACTGTTTATGATTCAAACAAATATTTAGATTTGCATATTAGTTTTTTAAGTTGCACTTAATAAAACTTTCATTCTTTTTTACAGGTATGAAGTTAAAAGTATAGTATGCCAAAGAAAAAAATATAATCACTATCAATCTAAGAGCACTTCCTTAATAATTAGGTATTACCTTGCTTTCATCAAATTTTTTTGAAAATTGGTAAAATTCATAATGATGAAATGTTTGCAAATTTCACATTTTGCCACATTTATATAAAAATTTATTAGCTAAAAAATTGAGATAAAACATTTTCTTTGGTCAAATGATGAGAGATCATATTAATGTTCGTTATGTCTAAAAGATTATGAAACCTGCAGGAAATTATTAAAAATCCCTCAATTTTGTAGGCACGTTTAAAAAAAAAAAGCTTAGAATCGGAAGAACAAAAATTATTAGATGGACCGGAAAGTAATGGCGTTTCGGTGCATTTGACAATTGTTATCAAGATTTTATTTTTAATCAATAATGTATTCCCCCTCGTTAGCGACAACCTTGCCAGAACGAACAAAAATGAATTGCTTTTTAAGACAAATTAATACTTAATGTGCCGAAACAACATTACTTTCCGGCCTCCATAATAATAAAGATATCTCAGTCGTACAAAATAATTGAAGTCCTAAAAAGTTAATACATAAATGGGATTTTCTTTTATATTAGTTTGGGGCCATTCAGATATTACGCAAGCACCTAACAAGCTGAGGTTTGCAATTCGGTTATTTTTGCTAACAAGTGAGGAGGTTTACAATTAGATTATTTTTCCTAAGAAGTGGGGCGATGGCGGGTATGAGCAATATTTACGTAAGGCATTAAAAAAACTTTATTTTCAAAATTTTCTTAAAAAGCAAAATAAATTTAACAAAAAATATTACGCATGAAATTTAAGTTGAATTTGAGGGAAAGAAATAATTGGAAGAAAATTTCTCCAAGGAGTTTTAGAGGTTGACAATTTTGAATATAAAATTGCTTATTTTTGCTGACCAGGAGAGAATCCAAATCTGCCATAAATATGCTTTCATAATACTTGAATAGCCTTTTTCTAGTTAATATTGCAAAACATTTCTTAATACAATAATATTTATAGTATTTCATTGAATGAAGTTTAAAACAAGTAAAAAAAAAAAAACTCAACTCTGCAAACTGACAATAGCAATAAAATTCATTGCTATTATATAGGTGCAATATCTTACAATTTATAGTGCTTTATTATTGTACGAAAAAATAGAATTAAAACTAAATTGTAATTTTTTAAAAGAAAATAACTAATATAAAATTCCTGGAGGCATTCGTAACAAATATATTGATTCAATAATATTTTTTTATATTAAAAGACATTATTTATAACTCTATCAGCAGCACCAAGTCACATTTTAAATATTCATATCTTAGACATTTTAGAGTGAGCTGGGACTGAGAAAATTTAAGTACTAACTTGGTTACACAAAATAAAGTACTGAAAGAAATAGTTACAGACAGATCTGTACATGAAACATTGCAAGAAATTGAAAAACATTGCTTATTAATATTTACAAAAGTCAATGTTGAATATTTACAGATGATAACAGTCTGATTCAAATAAAGAATAATTGAAATAAAAATCCTATTTGATTAATTGAGAAAATATGTATTAGGATTTTAAAAATGCATTTTTCCCCCTTCTGAATTTAAAAGAAATTAAGAAGCTGCTTTCTTCATCTTATTCTTTTTAAGCTCATCTTGATTAGCCTTAGAACTTAAAGTACCTTGAATAAGTTCATCTGATTTTAGGCACTTTTCACATTTTTTAGAGTCAGGATTACTAGAGTAAACATCATCTCCACATTCTACGCATATTCTAACTTCTAAACTTTCTTTGGATTGTTTTTTGTCTCTATGATCTCTTGATTCTTCTGCAGCTGACTTTTCCAAGTCTGAACTAGTTTTATGTTTCTTTGAAGGACTAGATCTACCACCTTCAGATGAACGTTTGGCAGCACCACTGTGAACAAGATAAACATGGTTCTCAAAAAGTCTGTACAGATTAAATGTAGCTGAACACACTGTACATTTATATGATAAATGAGCTGGTTTTAATGTTACTTTGTGGATTTGATTCATGTGACTGACAAGTTTACTAGCATAAACTCTCCCACATATAGTACAACAACCAGCATCTTTGTTTTTGTTGGCTAATTCTTGCATATTTGAGGTTACCAATCCATGAGCACCCAAAAGATGTCGCTCTAAACCTTGATCTGTAAAAAATCTCCATTGACATTTTTGACAATTCAAAGGAGGACGGCTAACAAGCATTTTAGGATGGATTTTGACTTTATGAATTAGCTGCATATGTGTGCGCAACTGGTCAAGATCTTTAATATAACCATCACAAATTTCACACACAACTAAGTTGTTTGAATTCATAGTTACATTACCAGGTTGATTGGATTGTTTGGCCGCTGGCAAAGGATAAGGTCCTGTCATCTTGGGCAAAGCATTTAATTCTGGCATATTTTTAGCAAGGTTTTGTTGATGTAATCCACTTCCAAAAGGGGATGAATTGAAGAATGGTCCAGTATTATGCAATTTTTTACCACTGTTGACAGTATTTGAGGCAAAAGGAAACTGATTAGGAGTTGTTGGCACTTGATTACTTCCAACAATAGGGACAACTTGGCCAGCAGAATTTAAAACTTGGTAAATACGATTAGGAGTTTGTACCATTGGAGATACACTAGAACGAATTTGGGACATAGAATTAGAATGAGCTGGTCGTATGTTTAAATTGGACATTTGCATAGGTGACATTATTTGATTATGACTACCTAAACTGTTATTTAAAGGTGTACTAGAGCTTGATTTGTAATTTGGGAAATTATTAGGAGCACTGTGAGGATGACTAACAATAGGAGAAATCTGGTTCATTGACATTGAGTCAGTCATATTTTCATGCTTTTTTGGTCGTCCTCGACCTCTATGCATTGAGCCAAGAGATTTTTCATACGCTTTAACGACAGCAACAGTAATAGGTTTAGGCGTCAAAGCAGGAAAATCAAAATCTCTAGGTGGAGCTTGGTTAACTCCATGATCAAAGTACCTTTGGCATTTTGTTAAATGATTATTCAACTTAACTTTTGAATTGCTTTCAAAGGTACAGTAAGGACATTCAAAGAAAAGCACAGGAGGTTGTATTCGGCCAATTTTTTTGTGAACCTGTTCCATGTGTTCTAACATCAATCTTGGGTCTCGATTAATAACTTCACAAAAATTGCACTGGTATTCCTTACGTTGAGTGAGATGAGGCACTAGTAAATGTCCTTCCATAACTACTGAAGATTCGGTAGTAAACCCACAAGTTTTGCATACTTTATATTCACAAGAGTAAACATTATTAGCTTTTTTGGCCTCAATATAACTTTTTTCGTGGTTAGCCAATTCTTCTTCTGTTTGAGGACGTTTTCCTTCTCTCTTCATTTGCCTCTTTTTAACTCTTACCATATCTTTATGATACCATTCGTTAACACGACTAAGGCCAATACCAATTAAAATCTCACCAGCAGAGGTATGGAAAAAGTCTTTGCTTTCAGATTTAGAATCTTTTTCTTTCGGTGGGAAAATGTCTGGTTCCTTGAGTAAATATGATGAAACTAAAGAAGGACTCTCGACTAATGCTTCAGTGCTCCTCAAGGTAAAATCTCCTTTCACTGATATATAACGTCCTATTTTGACTAAGCCAGTGAATATCTCAGGAAACCCAGTATCCTCATTTGTTAATTCTGCAAAAACAAAATTATCAGGAGACTCTTTAAACCTATCATGAGCATGTGAAGCAATATTCTTATTTTCTTTGTTGCTAGATTGATCATCTGATTTTTGAGATAACTTGACAGTTGAGCTTTTTTGGTGAATATTTTGTAAACCTTTAGAAATTTCATCACATCCAATCGAATTTAAATGCTCATTTAATTTTTCAAGAGGATTAGGTTCAACAAAACCATTTACTAATGGTCTTTCCTCAGCATCTTTATCTTTTGAAACAGGTGTCTCCTCAGCATCTTTATCTTTTGATACAGGTGTCTCTTCAGCATCTGTATCTTTTGATACAGGTGTCTCCTCAGCATCTTTATCTTTTGATACAGGTGTCTCCTCAGCATCTTTATCTTTTGGTACACTCAAATCTGGAATTTCTGTAGCAATTGCATTCTTTACGTCCAATTTTGATTTCTTTACAGTTGAATCAAATTTATCTGTCTTATCATTTTTGCTTAGTTCATCAGATGTTTTATGACATTCACTTTCAATCTCATTGTCTTTCTTGTTCAAAGATTCATTAGTAGATTTGTTCAGAGATTCATCTTGTAGACCGTTTTCCTTTTTTTCACAATCATTCGATATTGAGTCCTTTACATCTTTATCTAAGTTACTGCTATCATGATTGTTGCTTTCTGTAACATCAGAAGTACAAGAAACTTCTTTTACTTCAATTTCTTCACAGTTTTTGTTAGATTCTTTCTCAGCCTCTCCCTTCTTTGAAGAACAAAAATTTGCTTCATCACTCAAACCAGATGAGTGAATTCCATTTTCTTTTGGAGTATCTACACCCAACTTTACTGAAGAATCTAATTCATTTGAAATGGAAGAGTCTATCTTTTTCTCTGGGTCTGACATTGAATCAACACAAGATTGATCTTTAATATTTTGTGTTTCAAAATTATTGATCTCAGATTTAGTCTTGGTCATACCATCAACTTCTTCATTTTCATCCTTCAAGAAGGTTTTCTTATCTGACCCACTGTTAAGATCACCTTCATGTGTTTTACCATTGACTACAGAAGTCATCTTTGCAGCAATAGCATTAATAACAGCTCTGAACAGAATTAACTAATGCCAAACATGGACAAATAAATAATTAATTTTTATACTATGTCACATACTGCTTGGGGATAAAAATGTAGAAAGATCAATCGTCCTAAAAAAGAAAAAAATGTAATTTAGTATTAAAGCAGTATTTTTATTTTAAATCAACAATTAAAAATTATTCAATTCTCTAATTATTATAGCTAGATCTTTCGTCAAGAGACTTCAATTTTCTTTCTTAAACATTCAGAAGTTTTTACAGGATAAACAATAAGAAAATGAAGACAATTTGAAAAATTCTATATTAAAGTTTGATTCTAACACATTGAAATCTCACTGGGAAAAATGTATTGAAGCAAATAGTATATATTTTGATTAAATAAATGCTTGCAATAAATATACAGTTTCAATAATTGACTTAGAAATGTGACATTTTATGGTTATTTATCTATTAGTTATTAGGAAAAAAGCCTGAAAGTTGTCTGTGATTATTAACCCTTTGCCTCTAGCAGCCGAACTCAGTTTGGGCAATGCAAATATACAAATTTTGGAATGCTCCTGATTTTTTAAAAATCCGGACATGGAAAAGAGGCAGCTGATGAAATCGGTGGCAAATTCATCAGCTTTAAACCGAATAGCAGATAAAATTGTAGCATGTGGTACAGAGATAACAGATGCACACCTGTTTAAACATTGTGAGAAAAATCCACTGCAATAAAGTTATTCTGCATCACTGAAGAAGAAATAGAAACGATCTCTAGAACACTTACTGAAAACACTTCTAGGATGAAAGGGACAAGATCCTTACACCAGCTAATTGTAGAAAAATAGAGTGGATATCTCCAACTCCATTATAGAAATATCAGTTGTTTTTGCGGAGTACGAAGTAGATTTTGTCATACCTACGGTACGAAAGATTTTGACAAATGCCAATTCACAAATAAAACAAGATCAGAAAACTTATAGCTGAAAAACACAATAAATTTGTCCTTATAAGAATAAGGAACTTTATGTTTTTGACAAATATTCATCAAGCAGCAACGACTGTATTCTTACTGACGAGGACAATTTAATGATTCTATTTAAAAATATCAAATATGAGAACCTAATTGCAAAGAATTACAGGTGGTTGTGTTCTGTTGTTCAGAAAGGGGTTCTGTGGTTGTGTTCTGTTGTTCAGAAAGGTTCTGAACAATACTGGTAAATAGGGAAGCTAGATAATGGGGCAGATGTTGAAAATAATGAAAGATACAGGAAAAAAAGTGAAACTGATTTTATTCTAAATGGCGTAATTCGAAGCTTTTTCCAAAATGCGAGAAATTCGTGAATTTGTAAATTTTATAGAACGCGCGAATTTCTCGCGGTAATAATTTTTTAATGCGAGAAAGGAAAAAAATATGCGAGATTCTCGCATTCTCGTGCTGTAGTGAAAACACTGAATCTAAATATAAATATGTTGGAATAGCACAAGGTGATGTAGAAGACAATGCTGATATTAAGGTTATGTTTTTAAAAACAATAGATGACAGTGGAAAAAACTTTCAAGTAAAGGAGAATGATGTATCTTACATTCAGTTTGATTCTATAATAGGTATTCTAAAAAATTCAAGTTTAAAAATAAAAGGAAATAGAATTTTCTATCAATTTGATGGCTCAGTTGATGTCTATGAAAAATATATCACAACACGTTTCAAAATTGTTTAATTCTTGGCTCTAAATAAGTAGGTCCACTTTGAGTGTTACTTTATTGTTAATGGCAAGTGTTTTTTACCTCCAAAAAGACAAAAACACTTTCATTAAAAGGAAAACAAGAAATATTCAATGTCTAATAGGTATCAGTAATGAAATTATGCACTTTTAAGTTGTATGAATATTAAAATAGTAACACAGGGGACATAATATGCTTATTTAATGACAAATATACATCCATAAATAAAAAATAAAAACTACCTGTTGAAAATAACATAAGTATGCTGCTTGATATTAATTTTTGAGTAAGTAATTAACCACCTTAGATGCATTTTGGTTTAAAAGAAATTTTTTTTTTTTCAATTCCCTATTTATCAAAAGTGATCTGCATTTTTGGAATGACTCACCTGCATAAAATTGTTTCATTTTAGCAACTTCTTTTAATTGATATTTGCTTAATTATATGCTGGACAAGTTTTATAGTAATGAATTCCTTATAAGGAATTTTTAAATAGCCAAAATTTAAGCAAATCGTAACTTTTACTTTTTTCAATCTAATTAAATAGGATTTTTTTTATATTATGGTCTGATATGATATTTCTGAATTGCTTTTCTGCCCCATTTCATTGACAGTTAAATTATTTCAATATCTTTGCAGATATAGCCAACTTTGTTTATTATTAAGGCTGTAAATTAGCATTAGTTATTGAGAGTAGGCTGATGTTTAATTTTGTTTCTCTAAGATAAAACAAGAACAAAAAGGCAAGCACAATATTAGATGATAATGGAGAGGAAAGGGGAATAACAAAAATAAATAAATTTTAAAATATAAAATTTCCAAAAAAAGGTTTAACTATAAAAAAATGTGACTATAGTTGAAGAATAAAATTTATCTGGAAAAAAAAATATAAATTGAAAACGGCAAATTAAATGCAAAACATATATAGAAAAAAAATTAAAGAATGAACAAAGACAGAGTAGAGAAAAAAATAAAGCTGAGAGCATCAGTTGCAGAAATTCTAGTATTTCATGCTTAATTTTCCATAGTTAGTAATTATATTTTCTTCTGATACAGAAGTTTAAAACTGATTATGAGAAAAACAAGTCTAAAATTAAGCATATAATGTATTCGTTTTAAAATGATATCTAATAATAAGTTTTTTAATCTAAGGAAATTAATTTCTTTATAAGTTTCGAAGCAAAATCATTATAAAGGTACTTTTAACACAAAAAGCGGCCAGTGGAACGCAAAAAAGCAGCCATTAATAAGTTTACCTCTAGTGACCAGTGTCCCCACCAGATAAAAGCTCAAAAAATGTAAAATAGTGATAGTTTTTAAAATGTAGTTAAACTTAATTTTAACACTCAAGTGGTCAATACTTAAAGGAAGATTTTCATCTCATGATCTGAAACAGAATATTTGCCAAGTCTTGGCAACTTTCTGGCAGCAGCTGGCAAGAAACTAAAAAAAATAATAATCACGGAATGGGATCAACTAAGAAGGTATAACTCACAGCCACCCTCTGATAAATCTCTATATTTTGTTCTTAAATTAAATATTTGCAACAGTCAATGCAACAGATCCTAATACAAAAATATCTACATATTTAAGAAAAGTTTATTTACAGGATGAATGAGAATTATCTTTATTACTTTGATACCCCATAATTGTAATAGAAAGAAGAGAACCTTTAACTTTTTCAAAAATATTTCTTTAATTTTAGTGAAATAAAATCTGTTAATGTCATTAGTAGTAAAAAAGCTAACTCATTTTTTCTCCAATTGTAAAAGCCTATCACAGTCACTATTCACAAAGTTAGCTTGCTCTTGTCTTGTATAAATTTTGTTTATTACAATGTAAAACAGAAAAAGGCACATATTCTATAATATATCAATCAACATTAAAATGAAGCAAATCAATAAAAATTTAAAGAGAGTAGTTATAATATAAACAATAAATTACCTTAATATATAACTTTAATATCAAAATAATTTCTTTTAACTTATGAGTAAAAATTTTATAGAAAAATGATTATTAACAACACATGAAAAACAACTTTTTTTCCAACATATATTGACATATTTTTCCAGTATTAATAATATTAATTATCAAAGAATTGAATGAACTGAAAAAGTAAAAATATTGAAGTTATAATCAATCAGTTCAAATCATGAATAAGAGAAAATCAAACAAACACAAATTTAAGTAAACAAAATACAAAAACAAACAGATTTTAAAATCAATAAACTCTCTTAAAATAGTTTTGATTTAATATGAAATGAATCTTTCAAATTCAGATACACAAATTTGTTTGTTTATATATTGCTTTAAAAAAAATATTAGGTGCTTCATCTTATAAATAGTAAGCAAATGTAAATAAACAAAAGATATGTACGTAAATAACCAAATTTATTTATATTAAAAAATAGAATACAATCATAAAATACGTATGTATCCTGCAGCAGGATTACCTTACACATTGCATGACGTTAGGCTTATGGAGAAAAAATTTTTTTTTTATTATTAGCAAAATTAAAAATATATAAAAAACATAAGTGTTAAGAAATATTATGTTGAAATCGTAAACGTTAAATTTTTATGCATGTAATTGTCTTAAGAAGAAGTATAGTTTCTTAAAGATGTAAAAAAGGTTTAACCAAAGGGTGCATAAAAAGTAAAACTAAATTTATTAAATTGAAAAAAAAATAAAACGTTTTAAAATGAATTTTGAACATAACAAATAGCTGACGTTCAATGCAATTAAAATACTTTAGACGGAATATATAGATAAACAATCCTGGCATTTCCAGTATATTTATAAACAATAAATAATTTAATAACAAAATATGATTGAAAATTTTATTAGTACCGTTAGCTAACCCACCTTTTACAAATAGCGACAACTTTGCAACAGCGGGTGTTTTGAAATTTGTCACAGATACGTAGATTAAATCAATTAATGAATTTAAGACAATTATTTTTAATATTTATGAATAACATACATCGAATTGCTATGTGTAGATTGTCGAGTCCATATCCATTTCTCGACAAAGATGATTATTATAACAATTTCTCACAAAACATGGCGTCTGAAAACGTCACGTGACCTCCAATTTTTACCCCTCTATCCGCGTTAGATAAAGGCGAATAGCTTTTTAGAATTAAAGTCACATGATGCAGTAACAATAGTTACCCAATGAGAAACTAGATTAGAATATTTATCTGGTTATCAATATAATTAATAAAAAAAAATTGTTACTATGACAACCATAAAAATGGAATCACATAGTAGTTATGAGCAACCCCCAACACCCTAAACTGATTTTTATGTAAATTAACACAAAATTATTTTTTTTCTTAAAAAGTGTATATTATTAAGTTTTAAATATTTATTCATTAAGATCGGAAATTTTTTTTTCAAATAGGTCAACTTATACTTATATTGTAATATAAATATTAACATGTCAACTAAAAAAATCAATAACACTTCTTACTATTTTTAATTCATTTTTTTAAACTGCTCACTAGTGCGATTTTTGCAAATTATAAAGTGGAAGAAAATATAATTATTTCCTCTTATGATAGCAACGTTGAATTCTTGCTTATCTATACAATATATATAGTAGGAAAAACTGAAAATGTTTTTCATGCCTTCTTAAGGAAATTTTCTAATAAGGAGGGAGGGGGGACTATTTAAGCTTGAATGTATTGAATAAGTTATACTATAAAATATATTGGTATAAATTTTATTGTTCAGTAATAATTTCATCAATTAAAATATATTATTAAATGTTTTCGTACCCTCAACGATATGAAAGTAAGAATACATATCTTTTTATTATTCGTTAAAAAAAACGAAAGAAAAAAAAACTTTTAAGTGAAAAACTGTTTTAAGTCATTAGTTATAATAAGGAAAAAAATATTTATTTTTTTAAAACCATCATCATAGCTATATTGAATAACTTTGTTTATGCGATCTTAATAAAAAAATATATAATTACTCTACAAACTTCTTAAGGAATTTTTTTTTTTTAAGATTTCTAAAAATGACTGTTTTTAATTAGATAAATTGAATAAGATGTATTGTGAAATAGAAAATTAAAAGTGTATTTTTAGTATCTGTTCTGGTAAAAAAAAGTACCTGTTTGAAAATTTCAATGAATGCACCATTATAATATGTATAAGCATAAAATCCATACTTAATATGAAATAAAAATGGCGGTGATGTTTATTTTACAATCAATCTTCATAGGCTGAGAATAATATTATTACTAGAGCCCAGATTTTGATGACCTAAAAAATCTCAATTAATGCCCTTAAAAAGTTCAAAAAATGCCCTTACAAGCTGCAAAAAATGCCCTTAAAAGTGCAAAAAATGACCTTAAAATGCAAAAATTGTGCTAAAAATGCCTTATGACATGACTTAAATAGAAGTAAAAATATTGAACTAAAACAAGGTTTTACTCTTTAAAATTATTATGAGTCGTTTCAAAAAATATAAAGCAATGCAATACTTGTTCTACGTTCATTAAAGTTTGAAAAATATGTTTTATATCCTAAAATAACGAAAAAAAAGGAAAATATATTGACTCTTAAACATTTTCATTTTGTATAGGAACTTAAATGAATATAACAACTTCCATCTCATAATATTACTAAATATCAGAATTACAGTGGATTATTAAATTTTTTTTTAATATTTTGAAACGTAAACGAGCGTCTCTTGTCTGAAAGCAAATTTTTATAACAGGAGAAGCTTCTTTCAACGTCTACTGATGTGATTGGTGCGTACTTGAAAAGGACGATCATACTTACTGACAATTCTTCTTCAATTTGAAAAGATATCGCTTCACCTTTTAATATCCTAGAGATTTTCTTCGTTGTTTGGAAGCCAGTGTAATAATAAAAAATTATAAAAAGTAATAAAAATTAGAAAAAATTAACAAAAAATTTAAAAAATGCTTCAAAATGCAAAATACGCCCCAAAATTTAAAGAAAATGCCCTATAAATCTCAAAAAATGCTCTAAAGGACAAAAAATGTCCAAAAATGCGAAAACTGCAAAAAAATGCAAATGTCATCAAAATCCGGGCCTTAATTATTACTAATGATAAATGACCCTCTTTTCTAATGGACTATGGCGCTCTACCTTCAGCTTACTATTATTTACCAACCGATGCGAAAAATAAACCTTTTTTTTGTTTGATTGTAATAACGCTAGATCTGTCTTTCGACTTTAACAAATTAAGGTTTAGCATCTTATAAAAAAGAATGGTCTTTAGAAAAAAAAGAAAAAAAGAAAGAAAATAAATTTTAAAAAAATGGGAAAGGGAGTGTAAATATTTTAGTATACGCGAAATTAAATTCAGATCAACACAAATGTTGCTTCCAATGTCACTTGCCAATCCAGCAAGCCTGCTTGGTGAAACCAAGTGTAATTAGGGCCGAGGGTGCGTTTCTTGTATTTCAGTGGCGCATTCTATGGCCAAGAATACGACTTCAGCTACACACACATCGCGACCCGTTTAAAAGAAGTACCCATTAATCCAGTGTTTCCCAAACTCATGACTTTTGTGTACCCTTTCTAACTTTTTTGCAACGCTGTGTACCACTAATAAAAAAATGAATGTGCTTTTTTAAAAATATTTTTAGTTATTAACTGTTAACGCTGCAAAAAATAGCCAACAGAAATATACGTAATCTTAAATTTTCATGGCTAGCTTTGTCTTAAAATAAAAAATTTTGAAATTTTCGCTTGTTGTGAGATATTTCGCATAGGAACGCAAACCCCAGCTAAACTGCTCCCGTACCCCTAGGGGTACGCGTACCACACTTTGGGAAACACTGCATCCCTCCATTCATCCATCCACAGGTCTTAATTTTGACCTGAACCAGAAAACGATCAATCTCTAATTCAGTACCCCTAGAGGTATGATTTGTTATGGGGACATTGAGGACTTTGTGACCTGACCGATTTAACATGCACCGGTCACCATTTACTATGCGGGAAGTTTTCAGCCTGCGAGGATTGAACTTACGACCTCTTGGACATGGGCCCAATGTCCTACTAATCTAGCTATCCTGGCCTCTCAACAGAAATACATTAATAATATAAAGATCAGAGATAGAGCGTTAGCCTTTCAATGAGGTGAGCCGGGTTCGAATGCCAGTGATGACTGGTCGATACGAATTCCGCACCCGACTCGGACCGACTACAGGGCAGACGTAAAATATCGTCAGTGGTAGACGGATGAGGGGTTGCAGTCCTCTTGCCGTCAGGCTAACCGTGGGAGGCCTTCGTGGTTTTCCTCACCATGTAACGCAAATGCAGGTTAGTGCCATCAAAAAAGTCCTCCACGAAGCAAATTTCTCCCAATACTTGATCCAGGAGTTCCCTTGTCTTCGGGAGTGGGCTCAAAATTACAAGGTTACGGAGTTGAACATTATTAGTGGTAAACCCCAAATTGGGTTTGCTGTTCAACGACGGTTATAAAATGAAATAAAATATAAAGATCAGTATGGTGGATGGATTAAAATATTATGTTCAATGCCAAAAAGAAAAAAGGCGGAATGGGCTGTACTGCGCTAAATTTAAAAGACATGTAGCTGACTAAATGGTTTCGTAAACTAAATCTGATGAGAAAAAAGTTAAAAAGAAGAAAAGATCAGTACGGTCACGGTTGAACGAACGATAATCAAAATAAATAAATAAACAAATAAAATAAAAAATAAACAACATATAATAAATAAAGTAGAAGGTAACCAAAACAAAACAAAAACAAAAAAAAAGAAGAATTCAAAATTAAATATAAGTATTCGATTACTTTTATTTAATAAGATGACATTTTTTGCATATAAAACGTTTTATTATTTTTCATTGACTATCTTTTTGTTTTTATCTATTTACATTCTCATGGGTAAATTTTTAACAACTTGAATTAGATAAATAGATTATGTCCAAGTAATAAACATGAGTAATCAGCATGAAAATAGGTAGTAAACATACATTTTTATTACCTACTAGTAATAATTTTTTTTTTTATCATATGTATTGTTCTTCATTTCAATCGAATAAGCTGTAAATAAATTTACAACACATTTAATTAAAAACTATAAAATAAAATTTTTTATTGTGATTAAGAAAATTCAATGGAATAAGATAAAATAAAACATACACTAATTTTTTAGACGATTTCAGTTTTATTTTCGGTAGTTTTATGAAATTAAATCATCGCAACATTATCTTTCATAATTCCATTTAATCGCGCAAATAATTGGTACATTACATGCATAGAGCATTTCCGAAGATGTAATAAAAATAAAGGAATCAATAAAATTTCTCTTTCAGATTTCCTCAATTTTGGTAACGAATTCTGAACAATAACCTAGCGTGCATGCTTTGTATGGCAATTATTGTAAAATACAAACATTCTTTTTTTGTCGTAAAAAGCAAGATAAATTAAAATTGTTCACAACAATGAAAAAAAAAATTTTTCCGAATATTTAGGGGAAAGTAAGGTTTTTAATTTTGTCATGGATTCGGAATGCCAGATCTACAATTAAAAAATTTTGCATTGCATTCTAAGCCAAATTACATTGAGAAGAAATAAAAACATACATTTTCATTCAGAAATTATATATATATTTTTTATTTTAAAAAAAAATGCGCAACCCTGTCTTAACTACAATGTGCAACATTTTTTTTCGTGTTTATACTTTATTGTTATACAAAATAGTTACTCAGAATAATCTAATTTTTCTTTCAAATATTCTGAAATTTAATAATGTCATGGGAGGACAAATTTTTTCCTGAATTTGTACAAATGCTTGATCTTGACCAAGTCGGGTGTGGTTATTAAAATCTAAAATTAGTTTTGCACCAAAAGTCAAAATTTTTTTTAATGAAATTTTTAATCTTTTTTTTGTGGAAATGTACAAGTTTAAAATCGTTATATAAACAGCGGCTCGCGTAAATGCCGCGACAAGTTTCTTGGGGAATAAGAGCACCTCATTAGGATTAAAATTGAACAGAAATTCATTCCCGGAAATATCGTCGCACGCGGCTAGGGACGCTTCCTAATTATGAACTGTTCAAAGGCACTCGAACAAACAGTTCATAATAGAGATGGGTCCCTAGCGGCATATGG